AAATTTGTTTTATGATTCATTTTGTTTTTCAGAATTGTATACATTCACAACCTTAGGAAATTATTAAACGTTAGAACTATACAACAAATAATGGCGACATGGCGTTGAACTTTAGAAATCACCTAGTTTTGTATATCCACTTTACATAAACGGAATCTGAGAGTTAGAATAGAGAAGTCTGAGAGTTAGAAAGTGGAGGTAATTTGTTCTAGTTCAGACAGCAAGTTATTTCAAAACTGAAGCTAAAACCTAGAATGGAGTGGTACTTCTCTCTCTGAGGGAATAAAGAAGAAACAAGGAGAATTTTCTGACCTAGAAAGAATGAATCTATGGAAAATTCCATTTTTAAGTTTATTTCTTGGAATAGAGTATACCTTTTTCCTTTCACAAGTTGTATTGATTTGCCACTTGTTTGCATAACTTTAATTTTGGAAGTAAAACTTCATACCTCTCTATGTGTGCATGCATCACTCCCCTTCCACCAGATCTTTAGTGCCACAGCCCTATTGCCTTCATTCTCTAGCCCTTCCTCCTTCCCTGCTCATCTGTTCTAGTAACCAGTATATTTTTCACAAAATCTAAGAATTGGAATAGCATATTTCCTACATTTGTACTAGTCCAACCTTTAGAAAATTAGGCTGTTAGAAGTCACAGAGGGAATTGGCAGCTGTTATAAGAAAAAGCAAAAGGATTATGCCAGACTTCATAAATCTTGGCATATTTGAGAAAATGTCCCAATATGTTATATATGCTTATTCATGTGTGTAAACCTTTGGCTATTATGCCTTTTCAGTATAAATATGTTTTGCGTTATAAGTTGATCTGAGTGTAGAATCAGTTTATTAATCTATAGGAACCCAAATACCTTCCTTGCTTTGCTAAATCTCTTTGCTTCAAAATCCTACTCTTTTGCTCTTATTTTCTTTCTACATAAAGCAGCAAGGCGAGTAGGGCAGGTCAGAGTGGTCAAGAAGCACATTCTAGTTCTCTCAAACTCTGCTATCTCTTTAGCTTTAGTGACAACTACCTTTTGATCTCATCTCGGACAGTTTTAAGATCAAACCATAATAGCTATGTTTTACTAGAGTGTAAAAGTGCTGCTTAAAGAACTGGGAAACCAGCAAGAAGTGGAGAGACAATCAAAAGGAGAAAGTAATGTAGCTACTCTCCAAGCTGGATACACACAGATTTTTGTTCTTTAAGAACAATGAGGACACTAAAAATTTATACAAAAAGCAATGTACAAGTATAGAGAATATCACAAGTCAGACTGATCACTTCACTAAAGGTTTAAACAGCCAGTTTCTCTGAGAAATTATGAGGTGAAACTAACAAAAGACATGTCTGCTTGGTAAATGAGCTCATCATAGAGTTTTTTGCTCTGGGTCATATCAGACCCCATGTAGGGCAAGTCATGAAACATGCTGAAGCAGTAAAACCACTGAGGAAAGGGGAAAACAATAGAATTTAATGACCATAGGAAGATCCTGATATATGTGCTCTGCTGGCCTAAGAGCAATAAATAAATCTGTATAAGAAATACTAATTGCTAATCACTCTTTTGATGTCGACAGTTTCCAAATTTATTTTTAATAAAACAAA